TGGGGAGGAGAGCAAGAGGGTTGCGGGGGGAAAGAAAAAGAAAGGCAGGTAGAGATAGATGGAGAGAGAAGCGGAGGGGGTAGAGAGGTAGGGGTTGGGAGAGAGAGAGAGAGACAGACAGATGGAGTGGGGAGGACAGCAAGAGGGTTGAGGGGGGGAAAGAAAAAGAAAGGCAGGTACAGATAGATGGAGAGAGAAGCGGAAGGAGTAGAGAGAGAAAGGCACGCAGACAGAGAGAATGGAAGACAGAGAGAGAAGGGAGGCAGAATATGAGGTAACAGAGAGCAGAGGATAAGCCTCGAGAGAGAGTACTGGTTATATGACAGGCCCTTGGCTCAGCAGCAGTGTTAAACACTGGAAGAACAGTTTAGAAACATACTTGTTAAGTCTCACCCATCAGACTTCGACAGGACACAATATCTCATCACCGCATCTGCCTGTACATCCACCATCGAACGAAAACTAAAAGGAAGAGAAGTCAGAAGTGGTTCGGAGTTCTGGAATATTGTCTGGTCGGCGTGCCAGTAGCTGGTGCCATCGGTGGGACACCGGTGCGAGAGGTAACAGAGTGCCAGCTGCTTGCCGGCTGTTCAGGAGTTGGGTGATCGGGACACCCGTGGGAAGGAGTCACAAGTGGTCTCTGCTGATTGGAAGGGTGGGGGTGGGGGGTTAGGCGGTTGGATCCTCCACGTGCGAGAAGCCAACCGACGCCCTGTCCCCACCCCCCCCACGGCCAAATCTAATGTTCAAAATGTCCGCCTGAGGTCCCGTCGCCATTGAGGAAACGTGGGAGACAGGGAGTTAGGAGGGGAGGGGGGTTGGGGACATCCGCGACTCAGCCAACGCGACGTCCTGTCCTTTCGTCTTCCCCCGCTCGACGTGCGCCACCCTTTGCACGCACCCCTCCTCTCCCCCGACGTGCACCACCTTTCCACCCCCTGGGGGGGGGGATAAAAAAACCCGAGACGTGGTGGCGGCAAAAAAAAACCAAACATAAACCACCCCCAAACCAAGAAATGGTCCGGGGTGGGCGTGTCAGGGAGGGAGACCCTAACCCGAGAAAGGAACCCCTCTCTCTCTCGCTCGCTGCCCATCGGGGGTGGT